ATGATTAAACTAAAAAATGCTTTTTTATAGATCTATGAGGCATAGCCCTAATGTAGGCCTATAATTGAAAGTTACCTTCCACAATTAATGGTTAAAAGTATTTAAGGTACTACCTCAACCTCCCAATTTAACACTTTATTCGGGTTGACATTTTCATTATAACGGTACTTTTGTCCTTTCCGTGAAACACTGAGAAATAAGGACATTAATGCGTTACCAAACAGACATACACACAAAAATACAGAACTTAGTTAGGGAATTTGCTACGCTTTAAGCATAACAAAGTACTTGTAAAATTAGTATCTGAAATATTTGTTAATGTCATCAAATTTCATCATAACAATGTATATTTGCTTGGACCGATGATGACCCGTAATGACGGCTTACTATATGAAATGAAGTACTATAGACGATTGGTAATTTATAGTAAATATTACCAAAATAGGCCACGAACTATTGATACATAAACAACGTAATGCGTTTAAACAATTCATGATGGTTTGCTGAATAAATGTTTTACTAAAATGCGTTATCGTTTTCTTAGCATAAACTAACATTTTGGAATCAAGAAAGAAAAAGCAAAAATTGTACAGTTAAGAAATCAATTAAATTGAATATGCCTGTAATAATAAATAAGGTGCAACGCCAACGATAACTAATTTGTAAAGTACAGTGATGTGTTTTTGGTACCTACTTAAAAATGATTCTTGCTGCTACCAACAGTACCAACGGTTCTAAGGAATAGAACCGGTACCAAAAACCAACGTTCACAGTTGAGAACTATAGTACAGCCGACCAATTATATGAGTTAATCAAGTCCCGAGGTTATTGATCTCTTGGTTTTGGATTTTCTCGTAAAACGTTTTAAAACGGCAATCAAAGTTATTTCCCATTAATTGCTTTATTTGTAAACCACTTTTAATGTAAGCTTATCGGTGTCAGTTTGAAAAAAAAAACAACCTCATACAAACAACTTTTTGTTATTTAATAGATTACGTACCTATTCTCTAAACAATGATTGGTAAAGGCTATCTATTAACATAAGAAGGAAATGTGACAAAAATCACACAACGTTGGGTTTTTGGACGTTTGTAATTTTATTTCATAAGTAGGTTGGCCGTGTATCCTAGGGAAAAGTACCGGTATCAAGGATCGTCGTCGAAAAGGTTGTTATGAATAATTGGGTAGGCGTACGTACCCAAGAGATGGGCTATGGGCCTATTGGCTGTATGGTCCAGCGATTGCATCACACGGTGAGTAGGTACTATTGACTATATATATAGTCAATGGTAGGAACCGAAAATAACACATTAGAAAAGTGGGTTTAGCATCATCCGTAAACCTCTGTTAATCACCCACTGTAGTTGTGATTTTTTACTTTACACTTTACACAACCGCCATGGAAGCGTCGTGTCAATGAGTGGAAACCATGTTTCTAAGCTATTGGCGACGATAATTATAAAATTTAAGTTTCCCAGCCGTATACAACACTGATTCAAGGTCTTCTTTCTGGTTATCAAAACTCAAGAACAATTTATACACAAAGAATCTCTGGTTCCTGAACTGGATGATGCCTAGTTATTTAATTAAATTTAATTTCATTTACACGGTTACACTATTACACTATATTATTGCACTTTCAATTAATTAAATCCTTTATGTAAGAAAAACGTTTTAATCTCACTTGGTTGGGATTTGCATTCAAACGTGATTGAAAAAGGTTGCGGTATTTGTAAACAACATTTGTAAACATATCAGTGACAGCTAGGAAAAATAATCTTGATCCGAACAGTTATGCAATAAAAATTGGACGAAAACTTGACATAAATCGCACAAAACTACATTTTTGAACGTTCGTAATATTATTTACAAAGTAGTGAGGCCATCTTTTAATGGCTAAAGACAATCTCTCCAATCCAGTGAATACATTAAAATGACTTGGATCTTGATAGGTACTCTCGTTTTCCAGGAGAAGATAGCGTAAAATGCCATCTTGAGTGTTACAGACAGAGGGAAAGACAGACAGACAGACAGACAGAAATTGAGATAAGACTCGTTTCTGCTTATTTAATGTATAAGACGTAAAAATAACCTAAAAATATATAATTCTGAGCAATGTACAGACAAAACTCTAACGAATTTTATTTATATAGATTCAAAAGTTAACAGCTGATCATATGTCTTTGTTTATGTGTCAAATACTGCTTCCATAAGGATTACATTGAAACTTTGATAACCAGAGTGGGGCGGATTTCTGGAGAGACTTTTTTAACGCCATATATGTTGACACTCACCAATATGGTCTTTATAACCATGCAAAATTTTAAAACGATTGATTCAGCCGTCTAGGAGGAGTTTGCGTAATTACGAAATTCATAAGAGTTGACGTATAAGAGCTTCGCTCGCTCCGCTCAATCATAAACAATAACACGTCCACTAGCTATGAAACCAAACAGTGAGACACAAATACTGTAATGAGAAACTAACCCTAAAATAATAGATAACAGGATGGGAAATCTACTAAAGGACCATGCTTTATCTATGATACTACGGTATGGTATTACGTTTACGTTATAGGTGTTATAGCTTCTTGCCTCAGTTTATTATGTTGTTACCTATTGCCATATTTTATTACTTATTTATTTATTTTACCTTCCAACGGTCAAGAACCAATTTACAATATGTTGTATAAGATGACTTAATCTAACTTAAACATATACATACAAAAGTAATTTTTGACAATGACATGCAGTAAGTAAATACAATTCGAGCAGTCTCAAAATAGACGTACACAAAGCAAAACTTTAAATAACAACCAATGAACAAGAACAACAAACAAGAATAGTAAGTGAAAATATAAATGAACGACAAACAATATGAGTTACAACAATAACAATAAATATATGAGTTTTAACAATAACAATAAATATATGAATTTCAACAATAACAGTAAATATAATTTCAATAATAACATAGAAGACAAGATTTGTAAAAAGAGAGAAACGTTTATTGGTTTGAAACAAATATAATAACAGTAATTTTGGGTGGTAACTATGATGGGCGGTGGAAGTCAGCCAGTACCCTCAACCGGATTGTTTTTTGGCTCTCTCTGGGTTTTGTTTAATTATTGTAATGTTTAGTAAACTTATTGCTGTTAATTATTTACAATGTTGTAATTTATATACTTATTTACACTGATTGTGATTGTTGTTAATTATTCACTCTGATTGTTTTGTTGTTAATTTTTTAGACTGTTTGATGTTATTGTTACTAACTTATTCACAATGTTGTCATTTTGATAATTTACTGATTGTTATTATTGTTAATTATTTACACAGGTAGTTGTTATTGTTGTTAATTTTTCACAATGCTGTAACTGTTGTAATTTCGCCCACATTGTTCACCACCAACACCATACTTTTTTACGCATCCATATCATGTTTTTTTTTGTATTTTGTATCTTGTTGCATGTAAATCATCTCATGTATTATTTTGTAAAATGGCGATTCCCGTCAAAATAATGGTTAGGGTTCACTTAAACTAGGAATCATAGACAATATGAGCCACTTTCCTTCCACCATGCATGCTATGAGCCTCCAAATATGTAATTCTTGAAATACATGGCTCACTTACTCTACAGACCATAGTCTACGAGCCTCGTAAATAATATTGAAGGTTCACTTACTCTACAGATCATAATGCCATTGCCTATACAAGGTGTATAGTCAATGATAGTGCCCATGAGCCTCGTGTCTTATATTTAAAAATACAGTAGGAAGGTTCACATACTCTACAGATCATAGTGCTTATGAGCCAAGCGTATGAATATTTTTTAATTCAGAATAAAGACGGCTCACTTGCACTACAGTCCATTTAGCTACACGTCACGCGGTTTGCAGCGCATCGTTGCAGGCGTTTAAGGTAAACCAATACCGCCGTTCTGCTTTACTTCTGCCGTTTACTAGTCGTGCAGCATTAAAGAGAGCTTATTATATTAATGAATTGAATTGAATTTTTATCAAGTGTACTCGTTACTCGCAAGCAATTGCCAAGTACCAGTATTACAGGAGCTATTTTAAGACTTATAACAGTCATAATTTTAAAGTGACTAAAAATACTCTAAGTGTGTATTATACGACCTGATATTACTCAAAATGTGTTTTATTCCATAACGTTTCATTAAATTTAACATAAAAATCACGCTCCCTCCATTTTTTAAAGTATTCAGTCAAAAATTTAATAAATTTGCTTGCGCGTATAGGCCTAGTAGGCCTACATATTTTTCCTAAAGTTACCTAACAATGTACATGTTCTCTCACAGATTTGAGAAAGCAAAGTGGCCAATTCGCTCATCATTGAGACAATGTTAACACTGTCTCTGGAGTGAGACAAAGTAATTAGAGTGAGACAATGTTAACACTGTCTCACTCTAATTACTTTGTCTTTGTCTCACTCCAGATTTTCAACGTGAAGGCACGAAATAGTGAGCGCGTAACATGCAGGCAACGTCGTATGCGCGCGATATACGTTGGCAGCACTGGCTGTAAATCAGCTGGTCAGCTGTTGTACTGTTGTATTTGTCACTTAACATTAAATTTTATATTAAAAGTTCACTTCTGTGTAAAAATAGGTTATGTTTCTTCACCAATTTATTTGTTTTATGGTAACTGTAGGAAAAGTATAATGTGCAACTCAAGTTCAAAGTACAATTGCCTCACTCGAGAAACCATTCCTCACTCGCCTACGGCTCGTGAGTAGGGATTTCTCTCGAGTGAGTCAATTGCTCACTTTTCTCACTAGTTGCACAAATAACTATTTTTCACGATTATAAATAATTGAGGTGATGCAATACACTTATGTAGGCAGTATTAGCTCAGTGGTATTAGTATATTATAGTATTAGTATATGTATTAGAGGTGGCTGTGCCAGTAGCCACTTAAGAAGAAGAACCAATTTTTGTCTGCTTCTGCCTTCTGCTTGATTGTGATTAGATTTGAAGACGAAGACCTAGGCTAAATGTTTATATTTTACATTACATCAACTAGTATTTTATTTTGATTTTGTCTATTTCATATTTCATTGCAATTATTCATTTTGTTTCTATGTAATGGTTAAAAGAAGTTCTTTATTTATTATGGCTGGACATGAAAAGAATCGATTGGACTTAAGTTTCTGCTGTGAACAGTGCGGTAAAGTATTTAGCTACAAATACAACTTAACTGCCCATTTAAAGAAGAAGCATGGCCCTGATAGTAATTTGGAAATACCAAGTAAACTATTTATCTGCGACTTTTGTCCTTCTCGGTACAAACAAAAGTGCCACTTGTTAGCGCATCAAAGGCTAAAACACGACCGACCAACCACTAGGCCTGGTAATTTAAGGTGCCCTATTGTTCAATGCAATGTGCTTGGAAGTAAAATGGATTTAAGAAAACATTATAAAAATAATCATGGCATTGTCCTAGGCACCAATTCACTTGATTTTACCTCTTTTGAAGCTTTTTTTAAATGGAAAGAGGAGGAGGAAGCCCGAGTGAGGGCAAAATTTGTTAAAGAAAAAGGCTCTGTTGAAAGTACTGGTGGCAAATGCCACACATTTGTTTGTCATCGAAGTGGATGTTATGTCCCAAAAGGAAATCATAAAAGGTGCTTAAAAACTCAAGGCTCAAGTAAAATTAATGGTTATTGCCCTGCGAAAATGTGTCTAATTGAGAAGTCAGATGGCATCTGCCACTTAAACTACTTAAATACCCATATTGGACATGACGACTTATTGGTCCACTTGACTTTAAGCAAAACAGAGAGAACGAATCTTGCTGAAAAAATTGCTTGTAAAATTCTTTTTGACGAGATCCTGGACGGGGTTAGAAATTCTGTAAAGGGAAAGTGTGACAGATTACATTTATTGTCTCGGCAAGACCTTTTTAACATTCAAAATGAATTCAACCTTAGCAGCAGTGGCATAAGTCATGAAAATGACGCTATAAGTGTTGAGTTTTGGGAAAACCATAATTTGAATGAAAACCATAGTTTGGATCTCAACAAAAAGAACTTCCTTACTCACATTGAAAAACTAGTGGCTCAAGTAAACTCCACAGAAGAAATGTCATCTCTGTGGAAAATCTTTAAAAAATCAATGATCCATATAAATACAATGAGGAAAATCAAGAAGGAAGCAAACCACCAAGAATTAATGAAAAGAAAATGTAGTAAAGAACCTGCAAACAAAAAACTGAGTCATCAAAGGCCATATTTTAAGGCTAAGGATAAGAGGAAACCCAAGTTGACAAACAGAATATTTAACAACCCTATTCAAAAAGAAGAAATAGAAATGATTGAAGAGCTCTCAAAAGTCTCTACTTTGCCAACTGGTAAGGCAATTTAAAGTTAGGCCTAAGTTTTTACAAGTACTACTTAGATCCAACAACGGGTGTAGTTTGGTATACAGGCATATTTTTTTAAAGAGACCTGCCACTGTGCATCACTCTGCAGTTAGGTTAGGTTATGATAATGAAGGTAGTTTGGTGTTTTCCTGTTAAAGGTAGCCTAAATTATTATCAATGATTTTTTTCTCAATATAGGCCATATCGATAACTTAATTTTTCGATCTGATATATCAAAATTAACAAATTGAAACAGGCTATTTCTGATAGCTGGCTGGCAACTGACTTAAATAAATATTGTTCAGTAAGTATCAACAAACAATTTACAAAAATATATACGGATTAACTTATTGAAATGAAACTGAGGGTACAGTTTCTTAACTGGGCTATGCTAATATTGATTGAAGCTATCGAATTGAAAATATTGATTAATAATCAATATTTTTAAATATATCTAGGCTATTATAAAATACTATCATAACCTAACCTAACCAACCAAACTTGCTGATGGTGAAAAAATCGCATGAAGGTTTACTAATCGAATCGATACTTAGTTTCAATCAATATTAGCATAGCCCAGTTAAGAAACTGTACCCGAAACGGAAGCTAACACAACTACACTTTCATTTCACTACATTTCAAAATTCTGTTTGATAGGCCTTGAACTTATTCCCCACATGCCTTTTCTATTATCAAATATAAAGGCTGCACTTTACTTTACGTCCTACACTCATTCGAATGAAAATATCGATTGATATTACGATTACTAAACTATTTCGATTGCAATATTATACATCGATTATTGCATTGTTTTTGTTTTAATATTTACATTTTTGTTTAATTCATTGTTTTTGTTGGTAGGCCTATAAGTCATTTTTAAAGAACTTCACCATGAATTATCGAGAATTTGGTCAGAGTATTTATGTAATCCAGAAATTTTTTTTAAATGGATGCATGATCAAGGATTAGTAGCTTACCTGATACTAATTTATGTGACGTCTGTAACGAAGATATGAATGTTAAAATACGAGGTGAAAGTCAGGTAGATTTTAGATGTCAGAAATGATCTAAACCACACTCACTATCTATAAATGCATTAAAAAACACCTTTTTTGAAAATTCTCGCTTTGGATTTGTATATATTTTGACATTAATGTACTTTTCACCATAAACATCACTAACTACGAGTTTCTCATTTGTGAAACTAGCACTAGATTGATCACTACAAGTAGTAAATTTCTAGTAGATTTCTAAGGAAGACCCTTTCTTTTTCTTCGTTAAAGCTGTGAAACAAAAGCTGTGAAACAATTATATCCTGGAAGATTTTAACTACCTACGTTTAGTAGGCTATCTAGAATGAGGATATAATTTGTAGTTTGGTTTTTGTTTGGATTTTTTATCCTATTAAATTGTTTTATTTTTAAATTTGTTTATTTACAAATTTAAGATAAACTAACTGATCATAATTACAGCTGATGTATAATTTAAAACGCCTATTAAAAATCAATAAAAAATAATCGTAATTAAGATTATTCAATATAGATTAATCGATATCGAACAATCGATATATCGATTAATCTATATATAGGTGTATATTTAGTTTTTCAATACTTCTATATTAGGACGGAGGCCACTTATTTTACAACGCGCTGTGGTGGTTATGTTGGGTTAAAAAAAATATCTTTACAGGACTTTCCTCGTTTCGTTATGAATCAAACGATACCAGATGATTCATAAAGAATTTATGATGACCCAACCTAACCTAACCGCTGTAAACCAAACTTTCGCCCTAATTTCTCTGAGGCCATATTTCTACTACCAACAACAATTCAGGGTACCTCTCAAAGTGACAATCCATTTTGGATGACTTTTTCAGTTAATGCGTTATTTTCCTTATGTGATCTGTTAGGGCCTATCAGCCATGTTATGTTTAATTGACCCAGCCAAGTCGTTTTTACTCCTCAACTTAAAATTAGATACCGTAGTATCGAAACAGAATATTAAAATATGAATCATAAAGAAATAGTGGAAAGCCATGTTTACTCGTTTTATTGACAAGTACCTGGGGACCGAGCTTTGCTCGGGGGAAATTATTAGTTTACTCTGAAAAGTATTGCAGATACATTAATCCACTCCCAATCTCCAAACTGCTAACCTTTACTACTTACTTCACCACTCCCTACGTCGTGGACCTGTTTGCCCTCCTTCCCTATACCATTTTAAAATTGCAGATACATAAATGCCACAGACAGTTCCCACACTCTGCACTGCTAGCATTACTACTTCCTACACCATTTCCTACGTCATGGACATGTTTTCCTCCCTTCTCGTAGCATTTTAGGATTGTAGATACCTTAATGTAATTCCCATAAACAGTTCCGAGACTCCAGACTGATCACCTTTACTACTTCCTTCACCACTTCCTACGTCGCGGACCTGTTACTCTCCCTTCCAATGGCATTTTAGGATTGCAGATACCCTAATCTAATCGTCATTAAAAGTTCCAACACTCCGGGCTGCTTGCCTTTACTACTTCCTTCACCTCTTCCTACGTCGCAGACCTGTTTCCCTCCATTCCCATAGCATTTTAGGATTGTAGATACCTTAATCTAATCGTCATAAACATTTCCCACACTCCGGACTGCTCAACTTGACTATTTCCTTCACCACTTCTTACGTCGCGGACCTGATTCCCTCCCTTCCCATAGCATTTTAGGATTGTAGATAACTTGATCAAATCGTTATTGACAGTTCCCACACTCCGGACTGCTCACCTTTACTACTTCCTTCACCACTTCCTACGTCGTGAACCTGTTTCCCTCCCTTCCCATAGCATTTTAGGATTGCAGATTCCTTAATCTAATCGTCATAAACAGTTTTCACACTCCAGACTGCTCGCCTTTACTACTTCCTTCATCACTTCCTACGTCGTGGACCTGTTTGCCCTCCTTCACTATACCATTTTAGAATTGCAGATACATAAATGCCACAGACAGTTCCCACACTCTGCACTGCTAGCATTACTACTTCCTACACAATTTCCAACGTCATGGACCTGTTTTCCACCCTTCTCGTAGCATTTTAGGATTGTAGATACCTTAATGTAATTCCCATAAACAGTTCCCAGACTCCAGACTGCTCACCTTTACTACTTCCTTCACCACTTCCTACGTCGCGGACCTGTTTCCCTCCATTCCCATAGCATTTTAGGATTCCAGATTCCTTAATCTAATCGTCATAAATAGTTTTCACACTCCAGACTGCTCGCCTTTACTACTTCCTTTACCACTTCCTACGTCGCGGACCTGTTTCCCTCCATTCCCATAGCATTTTAGGATTGCAGATTCCTTAATCTAATCGTCATAAACAGTTTTCACACTCCAGACTTCTCGCCTTTACTACTTCCTTCATCACTTCCTACGTCGCGGACCTGTTTCCCTCCATTCCCATAGCACTTTAGGATTGCAGATTCCTTAATCTAATCGTCATAAACAGTTTTCACACTCCAGACTGCTCGCCTTTACTACTTCCTTTACCACTTCCTACGTCGCGGACCTGTTTCCCTCCATTCCCATAGCATTTTAGGATTCTAGATTCCTTAATCTTATCGTCATAAACAGTTTTCACACTCCAGACTGCTCACCTTTACTACTTCCTTTACCACTTCCTACGTCGCGGACCTGATTCCCTCCCTTCCCATAGCATTTTAGGATTGTAGATAACTTGATCTAATCGTTATTAACAATTCCCACACTCCGGACTGCTCACCCTTACTACTTCCTTCACCACTCCCTATGTCGTAGACCTGTTTGCCCTCCTTCTTTATACTATTTTATTTTAGAATTGCAGATACATAAATGCCACAGACGGTCCCTACACTCTGCACTGCTAGCCTTACAACTTCCTTCCCCATTTCCTACGTCATGGACCTGTTTTCCTCCCTACCATTACATTTTAGGATTGCAGATACCTTAATTTAATCGTCATAAACAGTTCCCACACTCCAGACTGCTCGCCTTTACTACTTCCTTCACCACTTCCTATGTCGTGGACCTGTTTTCCTCCCTTTCCATAGCATTTAAGGATTGCAGATACCGTAATCTAATCGTCATAAACAGATCCCACACTCCACACTACTACCCTTGACCATGGTGGAAGGAAAAAACATAGGTGTGCTATTCCCACATATTCTGACGTCACTCGGATTGCAAACAAAAGATCACCTGATTATAACTGTAAAATTAGTATGTATTTGTTTTGATTTGATTTGATAATAATAAAAACAATAACAACCAAATCAAAACAAATACATATACTAATTTGACAGTTACAATCAGGTGATCTTTTGTTTGCAATCCAAGTGACGTCAGAATATGTGGGAATAGCACACCTATGTTTTTTCCTTCCACCATGACCCTTGACTATAGAATCTAGTAATCTTCAGTATAATCTTTGCTCAATAGGAACAACTGATGTTTTTCCTTTTGTACTGTATTTTGTTTTGCTAGTGTACTGTGGATAGACAAATTACAAGTCTTTTGTTTACTTTTTCCTTGTTATTTAATTCAGCCAACATGGTTACCTAGCAACCCATAAGACTAATGTTAAAAAAATGTGATTTTCAGTTTCATTTTTCTACGTATTTAGATTTTTGTTGGCAGTTCTAACTGTAGTAAACTCGTTTTTAGGCCAAAAATAATCTATTTACAACATTTGAAGAAAATCGTCGGAGCCGTTTTTGAGATCTTGGTGCAAGCAAGCAAGCAAGCAAGCAAGCATACATACATACATACAAGCAAACATTGCTCGTATTAGAGTATAGGATTCAATGAAATGTTGTGAAACCACTTATGTTGTATTTTAACCAAAATTGACATCACGGTAATTGTGCAGGTCTATCTGACATCAATAAATCAAACTCTCTATACCGTATATTTCAAACTTCCCTTAAAATAATTCAAAATACAGTAGAACCTTCATAACAAGTTCATTGGGATCACAAAGTAAGACTTCTTATCAAGGTTGACTTCTTATCGAGGTTTGCAATAATATGTGATTAGGGGTAAAATAGTTTGGATTTGAAAACAACCTTTGTTATCAAGGGTGACTTGTTATGGAGGGTCTTCTTATCGAGGTTCTACTGTATTAGGTACCTAGGTAGAATGACATAGGGTGGTATCAAATGAGAAGTGGTTATAATTGACTGACTTTGATTTATAATCTTCATTAATTTTTCAGGTACCAGTATGATCGAGAAACACGCACACCAACCTTGTTGATACCTCCTCAATAACCTCCAATTTGATGTAACTTGCCTAATGTCTATACCAATTACATTTTGTTATCCTATTGTGTAGTCTTTTGTAAATATTAATCTTGTGGGCAGTACTATACATTTTTACTGTATAAATTAAAATCCATTTCTGTGAATAAATAGCGTGTCTACTAAACTTTATAAAAATGTACTTTTATCCTTCTGCAATTTTGCCCTCTAGTTTTTTTTGTGTATGCCTAAGCTTACTCAATTTTTGCATTTAATCTTAACTAGCTGGCCCGACAGACGTCGTCCTGTCCTAATGTGGTTTTATGTCATAATGCTCGTTCATTTTCAAGATGAGCTCGTTTGCATGGCTCAATGACGTCCTGGTTGAAGTTTGTTTGCTACGCTTACTTACCTTTGGGTTGGAAAACAGGAGCGGGCGCATGCGGAGTTTTATTCCGCAACACTAAAGCATAAATTTTATCCATTTTACTTGTTGTTATAATGAAAAACTAGTGTACCTGTTGCTCGAATTCGAGCAATTGTGATAAACGAATAAAAGTCAACATTTCCGATTACTTTAAAGACTCAACTCAAAGATTATGGAAATACTCACGATGTACATAACAGTTCGATATAATCATAATTTCTTGTAAATATCTATCATTTTTCAAAAGCTGATCTTGTTTTTTAGTGTTTACTACAAATGTTTCCCACTCATAGCCGCATTAGGTTGTCCAAAGCAACGATTATAAATAAAAAAAAAAAAACATTATTTCTATTTCTTCTACTTGGTGGTGTTCTATGACTTTCACATGTTTCCATAGTTTGCAAATCGGCTCTTTCAATGATTGCTCAAGAAATGCAGCACAATGTTTATTCAGTTTTATTTTTAGTATATCAAGTTGTCCAGGCTTTCTCGGTTTTTTCCATTTTAATATTTACGCCAACCCAAATTAAAATAGTAAATATTTCATTTAAACTAAAGTCAGTAAATGTTTGTATAAGATGTTTAATCCAGTAAATTTGTATTTAAATTTACTCATAGTGAGAAAGTTTTGGGGTAGTTTTGATTTTTTTCATTTCTTAAGTATTTTGGGGTGCTGAATCCGAATCTGAGGTTTGCCAACAAAAATTATTGACGCAACATTGACAAAAATTAGAAAAATATGGAAATAATGTTGTTTTTTCTAATATTTGGCTTATAACTCAGAAACTATCAACTTTTCGTAAATAGTCTATATTATAAAAATTAAAGTACACAAAATTTGCTACAAAATGTACCCCTGATGTGGTAATCTCCGATGAACCATTTAGGCTCCAGAGCTATTTGAATAATTGGATAATTATCCAGCTGATCATAATCAAAAGCTTTACGATTCATCCTGCAAGTTCCGTGCATGAATTTATAACAATATATCCCTCACAAGGACAGTGGAATTCCGACGGTTGAGGAGGAAATAACCAAATTTAGTGCAAAATATCTGAAGAAGCTTGAAACTCACCCTAATCACTTGGCTCTGAACCTTTTGGACAACAGTACCTCTATATACCGGCTGAAAAGGATCCATGTTTTATTTTATTTTATACGTCAGCTCACGTTTTGTTTAAACAATTTAATTTTCTCTTGTTTATTTACTTATTTATTTTTTCATTGAAATATTTTTAAATTAGATTTTTCGATGGACAGAGACTAACCAACGTTTTATTAATAGTTGTTATTGTATTTGCTGAATGTTCAAAAAACTGAACAGATTGTAAATAAAATTGTGATAGCAAAAAAAATGTTGTATTAATATTTATATCATTTGCTTAGTGTTCACTGTTGTAAATTAAATAAAGTTAAAAAAATACAACATAACATTTAGCCGTATTTTTAGTTCATCTATTCCACTGACCATTAATGACAGTGAAAATCTCAACATATTGGCAATATATCCAATATTGGCTAAAATCTTTTATCCCAACACTAAACTATTCAGAAACTCAAAGGCTAAAAGTATAAGCATTTTCCTGTTGCCTTAAAAAATCTTCTTTTGGTGTTAAACATTTTGTGTTAATATTAAAATTTACGTAGTTTGGACTTATTTGCTACCCTTTTATTTAGTGGTACAGTCATTAGTAATCAACGTTGCTTTTTTGGAAATATGTATTAAAACTAGATGTTGCCTGGTCATATAAGAGAAGTATGTACACAAAAATAACTTAATTAAATGAATTAACTAAATTAATTAATTCTTTGAATTTTGTTCGTTTCTCTTCTATTTTGCTCTTTATGTGTAGTTGGACACTGGACAGCCTTCAGAATAGCCGTCAAAAACCTCGACCAACATTGTCTACAACGTATACTGCAACTTTTTATAGTATTTTTTGTGAGGACGTTTCCCCCAGACACGGCCACCTTTAACTGCAGGCCGCGGCCTGGTAGAATTGACAACGTTGCAAGTGGTGTTGAAAATCTATTTTTGTATATTTAAAGTGGAGTCAATATTTTCATAGCCCATTACACAAACCATTAGCTGCATCCAGAACAAAACAGCTGTTACAACCCTACTTACGATGTTGCCACTTCAAAGTCCGTGGCCTGCAGTTAAAGGTGGCCGTGCCTCCAAAGCACTAGTTCTCGTAAAGGGTCACTAAAAAGAAAATCAGAATTTTGTAAGACTTGCGTTTATTCAATCTTCTCTATTCCTTGTCACAGGTTCTCTATTTACAAATATGTAAGGCTGCAGTTCAGCAGAGAACCTGGGATATATTTTATTGGTTTTAATATCAACATTTCGGGTTTTATACGGTAAGATATTTATTTTTAAGAAGAAGATTTTTTGAGACAACAGAAGAATCACGAAAAGGTTTATACATTTTGTTTCTGAAGAGCTTAAAGTGTTGGGGTTTAAACCATTGTTGCCAAATATTGCCAAATTTTCCTTGTATGATCAACTAACATCCATGAAAAAAAATCAGCCTTTCACTATAATTACTTCCGACAAAGCACTATTTTTCCCTTTATTGCCTGGGCTATCATGTCGATGTGGCCCTAACTGTGCCTGTTAATACAAAGGATTTTAATGTAATTCCATTTCAAATATTGGGAAAATCGAGCATATTAATGGACGGTTGCGTACTTTTTGATTAATAAATTTTGTAATAAAACGTCTACCCAAAATGATACCGAACGACCCCGAAAAGTACGTCAAGGACAACAATAAAGTAAGTGCTTAGTGCTTAGCCGCAACTGGTGGTTGAGTAGTGGAATGCTTGCCTGTACCACAGACAAGGGAAACAAAGAAACTTTTTATTTCCTTAGTCAATGCCTGTACGATTTTTAGCAAATTTGCCTATGGGCAAAGTGAATTAGCTATTACCGTTGGTGGCACAGTAAGCCCTAGACACTTGAGTCGGAACCAAAATACTTTTTCATTTTGATGTACCTAGAGACCAAAAACAATATTAATTCCAATCTATATAAATACGTACCCATGTATGTTTGATCATAGACTAACCAACACAAGTAGACTTCTCATCCCATTGTAAATTTTGAAGCACGTTTTTCGTGTCTAGTTCATGTACGTGACACATGGGCGCTAGTGTCGACGAAACTTTGTTTCTATTATTTTAGGGTTAATTTCTTGATTTGTGCTTTACTGTTTGGTTATATAACTAGGGGACAAGTTATTGTTTATGATTAGATCGTATTATTTGGCTAAACGAGGTTTTAAATGGCTGTAATAACGGGAAACAAATTGTAAACAAAACACGACCTCTACAGAAAACCGTACAGAACTAACAATAAAATTGTCTTCAGCTGTTCCATAAGGATGAGAAATCTACTAAGGGAGTATGTTTTATCTATGGTTTGATACATACATGGGTACGTAATGTATGTGGATATATAAGTTTTGGGCTCCCTGAACCCAAAAAAGTGGGTTTCGAAGTTATGTCTGTATGTGTGGATGTGTACAGAGCTACAGACCACACCTGTTGTCCGATTTTTATGAAATTTGGTATGTAGGTACTAGCTAATGCATGGTATCTCTAGGTACTTTTTCATTTTTTTGAAATGTTGATTTTTAATGATGATTTCCCCATAGAATAGCAGAAAATAGAATTTTATCGAAAATGACCGGACGATTTTGATAAAAATTTAGTATATTGGAGCCCTTAAACTTATGTTATTTTCCCATAAAATAAGAGAAAATAAGATTTTAAAAAGTTTTGATTGAAATTAGTACCTATGTGGTCCTTATAATTCTTATTAACATAGTGCAACCCCCATTGCTGTAAAAAATACCTTTCAAAAGTTAGTGTAACAAGTCAAAATGTTATCTATACTTCTATACTAATATATAAATACCCCCGCCGCAGCAAACCTGTCAACTAAGTGAATTTCCATTTGTCTGAATTGATTTCAATTAAATATATTTTAATAAATTAGGTTGAGTACCTAGGTTTGCTGCTACAAAGAAACTAATAAAGTGTGTTTTTTTTTGTAAAATATTGATAGCCTAGTACAAAATAAATAAATTTGCGAAGTTTGATCAAAATATATCCATAAACAAGCAAACTACAACATTTGACAATATTCTCCATAAGAATAACATGGGAATTTTAATTTTTTTTAAATTTTCTGTTACTAATAACCGAACAAAAATACTTTTATATACTAAATTATTTGTTTTTTTAAGCTGTTTAAAAGGGTCTAAAGAGAAATTGGGAAATTTTGTGTTTTGAGGGTCAAAAGTGAGAAAAACCAATTTTTACCCCATAAAACCCTCCGTAAAGCCCCGTTCCCATGGTCCGATCATGCTGGTTAGCGAACTCATTCAAGTTTATCCTGCTTTACGCCTTTAAACCAAATTTCATCAAAATCGGACAAAAATTACTCAAGTTATCGCGTTCACGGACGTATATATATATACATATATACAAATTTGAACGAATGGTGTTTTTGGCCTCTGGAGACATCAAAATGAAAAAGTAAATCGGTCCCGGGTCTAGGTCTTACCGTGCCACCTACGGTAACAGCTACTTCCCTATAGGGAAATTCGCTAAAATGAGATGGTGTGTGTTTGTGTGTCTGTGTGTTACTC